ACCCCCAAGCCTGCCTGGGAGCCCCAGTGACGCTTCGGTGTCAGCCAGGACCTGCTACGGTCTTCCCTCTGTGCAACCTGGTTCCCCTTCTGTAACCACCAAGCGCCGCATTTAGTGTCTGATCAATGCAGGGAATTTACAGCTGACTCAGGCACTCGGGGCTGTGATTTCTCTGCGTGAAGAAAGGTCATGGAGCAAGGGGATGTTGGGGTGGCAGGCCAGTTCATCCAAAAACTTCCCAGTGCTGCGCTGGTCCAAGCAGGGATGTCACAAGAGCCTCCAGCTGACCTGGAGCTGGTCCCTGCACCCTGGGCACCCCCTCCATCAGCAAACGCCATCGGTCACTTCCCTTGCATAAGTTTTGCTCCGTGTGTCTGGGCTAGCAGCACCCATTTGCTTCCACGGTGGCAATGCTCCAGGGCAGCAGGGGCCGGGGAGCATCGCTGCTGGTTGCGTGTTGCAGACCAAGGAAAATCTGTGTGAATTTGCAGCATCCTTCCTCTTCAAATTCCCTAAGACCAGTCATTGAGAAAGTTATTCTTCATCCTCTCTGCCCCTCTCAGGCCTCAGCTTTTTCCCCAAACCAGGTGTACAGAGTCTCTGCAATGCCCTATTTGCCATGTTCTACCCCAAAGCAGCTGCCTTTCAGCAGTACGAGTTAAAAAAAGGGCCCCCGAAGCAGGATGCTGTAGCAGAGGGAGGGCGCCCTGGGGGTGCAGGGCTGTGGGGTGATGCTGCTGGGGCTGGTCCAGGTGAAAAGTGGCTGCAGGTGCTGAGCAGGATGGTGCTCACTGGGGAACGTGGCTGCAAGGTCGCTGGGGGCTGAGGTTGCTGCAAGGTAAGGGCTTTTCTCTTTTTTCCTCCCTGATCCTTGTTTTTGTTGTAAATATCTCTAGCAAGGAGGAAGCTGGGGGCTTGCTGCTTGCTTATCTCTGGCTCTTTCCATCGTGGAGCTGCTTGGCTGCTGCTTTTTGGGACCATGGTGGGGTTGAGCGTGCTGCCCTGTGCAGGCTTGTGCCAGCTCTGTGCTTGTGCTTCTCGGAGAGGTTTGTGTGCTGGGTTGTGGGTCCCCACCAGGAGCGATATTGCTTAGAGCAAAGGTGTCAAACCTGCACCGTGTGTCTGTGGTGTGCTGGGGGGACTGGAAGAAAGGCTGCTGCATGTGCTGGTGGGTCTCTTGCTGTGTCGTCTGTGCCTCCTTTGACTGTTTGTGTCTCTGAAAGACAAGGGCTGGGAGCTTCCCGTCTGCGAAGGCGAGAACTGAAGCCGGGAGAGATGATGTGTCCTGATGGGGTGTGGGACGTGGGTGGCAGTGCTGGGTGCTGACCTGGCTGTGCAGCCTGGTGGCTTGGGCAGGGAGAAGACGACTTGGAGCAGAGTTCTGTGAAACAGCCCTCTGCGTGCAACACCATCTCTTTCTAATTCATCTCCCTCCCTTCGGTTGTTTTGGGAGGTCGATGTGGCCTCTAGTGAGGGACTTCAGAAAGCAGGGTCTGCATCTCCCCTCTCTCCGGGGTTTTGTGCTCTCCCCTCTCCCAGGAGCAGGGGTGCTGAACCCCAGGCCCTTGGGGCAGCTCCTTGGGGTCAGGTTGTGCTTGGGTGCACAAAGCAGTAATAGTTGCAAGGCAGCTATTAACTGAGGAATTATCGAGCCCATAAACGTGCATTAGCTGGTTTTGCAGTATTTATGTGATAATTTAATTACCAAGGTTTTTTCCTAAATAGCCCTGTCTGTAGGAGGTTTTTGGAGGGGAGCAGGGTGACACAGGGAAGGGTGGCAGTGGCTGCTGCATTTCCCAGACTGGGAGTGGTGTTAGGATGGGGCTGGGGCTGGGACGCGGCTCCGGGCTGGGGCACCTCCTCGGTACGTGGCTGCTGCTTGCACTTGTTACTGACTCTGAAGAAGGACACAGCATCTGTCCTAAACCTGAAGCCACGTGGACATGGGACAGAGAGGAGTGTTCACCCCAGCCTTCCCCCCCGCCTTTGTATTTGGGGAGAAAAAAATTTATTGGAGAGGAGCCGTGAGCCGGAGCAGTCGGATCTCCCTGAAATGCGAAGGGTTATCCGGTTTCTGTGCAGATTTGTCAACTGCTTCAAACAGGAAATTACTTCGTGTCTTGAAAAACCTCCAAGCACCTGTAACGCCGGGAAGCGCTGGGGAGCTGGCGCCCGCGCTGGTCTCGGCTCGGGGAGCCGGAGCTGAGCCCCCGGGCAGGTCTGTGCCTCAGCGTGCAGGGGGATGGTGTCCCCTGGAGGGAAGGGGGGTCTCCCAGGCATGGTATAACGGGTCCCTGCACTTGCTGTTGGTGAGCAACGTGTGTGGCACCACATCTCTGCTCTGTCCTTGACGATTTCTTTCTAAAAGTGCTGTGTTAGTAAGGAATAAAGCACCCACCACCCTGTCCCTGCTCCACATCTCTCCTGTGACTCTTCCTAACTTTCTGTAGGTCCTACCAAAACACACAAGGGGTCGGTAAGGTGAAAGAAGGCTCCCCATCAGTGGTATCTGCAGCGAGCTGTGCTTGGCCATCAGCATGGGGAAGGGGCTCCTGCCCTGCTCCCCACCTCTGCGGCACGTGATGGGGCTCCAGGCCCTCAGGGTGAATTTGGGGAGGAAAGAGGCGGCCGCTTTGTGAAAGCAGCAAACCAACTCATGGCCGATTAAAGGGCAATCTGGTTTTGCTGAGAGCTGTTGGCTGCCTTGGCCAGTGTGATGCATTGCTCCGGCTCAGTAAGACCTTCCTCCCCCTCTGACAGCTGTGCAATAGATCATGAACATATGCAAAAAAATAAACTGCATCAAAGCCACTTGGCAACTTAACTAACCCAATTCATAAATTAATTTCTATTCCTCTTGTAAGGGAGAAATCAGTCACTCCTCAAGGCTATTTGTCTCTATCGCTCATCTGGCCACATCCTTTCATAAATCTTCCCCATAAGTCTGAACTGGTGATTGCTGGGTCAAGCTGCAATAACACTCAGTGCCTGCGCCGGGCTCAGGGGCAGCCCTGGGGGATGGTTTGCCCTGGACGAGGGCAGGATTGCATCTCTCTGCATCGCCTGCATCCCATGAGGCTGTAGCAGGGTTGGTGTTTTGCAGCACGGTGCTGCTCTGCAGGGTGCCCGCGGGTGATTTTGGGGAGCGCGTGGTCCCTGCCAGGGCAGTGCAGAGGTATGATGGTGAATCAGCTTCTTGCAAAAGGTGGGTGAACGGCACATACCGGGTTTCTGGAGCGGTGCTGGGGGTGGCCAGTGACTGCAGGGTGCTGGGGGTACGTGGAGAAAAAACCGAACGGTGCCTTGCACCCCCAGCTCCAGATGGGCATCAGTGCCTGGAGCCCCAGGTTAGCTTTTCCAACCAGGCAGACAGAAGTCAGCTCCTCCCTGCTGTATCCCTCGCCCCGCTCCCCCCTCGTAGAAAAAAATCACCACCTTTTCAGGCTGCCATCTGTTTATTTTGTTGGACTCGGAACTTGCTGAAATGTCTTTCGATGGATGAAGCAACGCAGAGTGGAAGAACAGAGCCTGGCAGGCTGCATGGTGAGTGGAAAATAGTTTTTTGGGACTTTCTGGAGTTTGAAGGCCCGATGATGGATGTGCATGCGAGGGATGGTAATGGCTTTGTAAGTATCAAAACACAGAGCGAAAGAATCGCTCTGCCTAATAGACTGAGAAATGTGTGTCGGACAGGATCCGCTCCACTCCGACACGGGCGAGAGCGGCGGCGCTGAATGATGAAGTGCTGCGGGGCTCGGGAGCAGAGGCTCGTATTGGAAAAAATGGTACAACTACTTTTGAAAAAAATGTTAGCTACTTGCTGTGAATGTGTTGGAAAAAGCTGTATCTTGTCTCAAAACACGTCTCAAGGAGACCCGGTGTGTTTGCAGCGATCCGTTCGAGGGGCTCGCAGCCGCCCGTGGCTCTGGCCGGCCGGGCAGGTCTGCCTGTCCCTGCGCCTCCTGGCTCCCCTCTTGCTGCCCTCCCCCTT